GACTATGTTTACAAGCACAAGAGTTCAGTGAGCCACAGAAGGACCGCCCTGCAGATTTACTATTGGTTCTGCAACGTAAGGAGTTTTTTTAAACTCTGAAATTGTATCCGCCCATCTAAACACAAAATCAGGGAGAAAGTCATCAGTCTTTAGTTAAGCAAAGCGTCTAAAGACTGACTTGTGAGTCTAGGTAGGTAGGTAGATAAGTAGATAGATAGATAGATAGATAGATAGATAGTGCTACTTTTTATACAGATATTTCTGTTTAGCTTTTCCAGCAAGCCTCCTCACTCCTATCTTCTCAAGATGCACTTTAGGAATTGGGACGCCCTGCGAGATGGAACACCAAGATTGATTTCCAGGTCACAAAGCGAAGGGCCGAGGAGGCACAAAATCCGTAAATGGGAAATGCCTACGTCATTGTGTTTTATCTCCACTTTAAGGTTTCTGAATCTAAAACTAGTTTATAAACAAGATTAATATTTATACAGTATGTATTAGCACTATGCCAAACAGGGTGATCATATCAACATGGCTGATAAACATAAATGAATACATAAAGTAATGCTTGTAGTGAACTTGGTCATGGTGGTAAAATGTATCACTTACCTGATACAGTTAGAGAAACTTTATTACTTTCTTTTCTTGAATATGGTGAGTGTTTGTGATCACCAATGCACTGGTATTCACCACTGTAGTCTGTATATGGCAATTGTACTGTAGATCTCTTAACTGAGCCATAGCGGAGAAATTCGTGATGATCTCTCTTGGTTTTATAATACCAGTCAGTTTCTTCTCCTTCCCTCATGTCACATATGAAGGTAACAGATTCTCCGGTAAATAAAGTGGACCAGTTTGGTTCAATGGTCAGCACAGCATCTATAAAACCAACATAAGATGTAAAATGTTAATGTGATTTCTCTTGACAAAACAGAACACAGAATTAGGATGAGATGAAAAGTGATAGATTTGGTGGATATTTGTCTTAAGTGAACATATAAAGAAAAAGAAATAGAGAACTATATAATTACCTTGAGCATTTCCACAGTAGAGAAGTAGACTCAGGGCTAAAATACAGTTTGAAACTTCATCAGAGATTATCAGACTGACAGAAACTATCAAATATAAAAGACACTCAGGCATTTAAAAAGTTGTATCTACTGTATGTACTCACAGAAAAGCCCCAGCCCACAGAGCAGAGTGTGTCCCATCCTCACATCCAGTACTGTTACTCAGTTACTCTGCTTCTTAGAAATGCTTCTACACTGTGTAAAGACAAAAAAAAGAAGCTTGCAACATATGAAGAAAAATAAGGAACTGTGAAGAAACAGAAGATGCATTACATATAAATACTGGATCAGAAGTTTCCTCCAACTTCTTCTTCTGAGTTTATGTGGTTTGTACTTCCTTCCCTTTTACACGACGCTCACACAACTGCACTGGTTTGACTGAGGCATATTTTTGCCCATAGGTGTATATATGTTTTATTAAATAGAATTATATCATCTCATAATGGAAAGAGATAAACATTTAAATTTCCTTCCTGATATAGATATGATCATCCTGTGGGCTACTGCTGCCTCTCCAAGGGTCAGTAATTCTTAGTGCTACTATGACGCCTGCTGTATAAAATAGTTCAAGTCAAGAGTTTCCTGCCAGAATGAATAAACTGCCTACCTGTCTACAGCATACAGTTTCAAGTGGACAGCTGACATTACAGGTGTCATACTCATGTCTTTAATCCATGGGTTCTCTCACCACGCTGGAAAAACTCCTTCAAAAAATGTTCATTCTTCAGCTCCAATCAAAAAGTTGAATGGCAGTACTGCAGAGAAAAGTATTCCCTCGCTCTAGTACAGAAACTTTAAATGTCATCCCTTTATGTTGAAATTCTGGTTTCAACTTTGGTCACGACATCACCCATAGAAAGTGAATGCACTCGAGCAGAACAGAAATAGTCTCATCTTTTGAAGCGAACATGACGAGAGCTGAAGCCCTGCCCCCTCTGACAGTTAACTGTGTGCCAATAGCTAGGACTCATGTGAGACATTGTTTAATGCTTCAAATAACAAAAAATGTTTTGTCCTGTTTAAGATAATTGTTCAAATTGTACTCTCTAGTATAGCAGCAGATGTACGTTTAGTTCAAAGGGGGACACCCCTTAATTAATAACTCCAATATGTTACTTCCAAGGCCTAGGAAAGTTCAATGAATATTTGTGAACATGAGCTACTCTCTCTCAAAGCTATAAATCAGTGACACAAGTCTCAAAATTGTGATGTCATCAAGTGTAAAGTCTGAAACTGCTCCATAGACAATGAATGGGAGTCTGATTTTGTGGACCCACAGAATGTTTTTCTTTTTTATACTTAAATGAGGTTTATTATATTGTAGTGTTCTCAGTTGTGAGACAGAAAATGTACCCATATACTCAGAACATTCCTCTGTATCTGTGCCCTCAGTGTCATCTAGAACACCTTTACCAGTTCACTGTCTATGGAGCAGCTTCAGACTTTGTACTTTATATCAAAAATCTGAGTTTCAGCAATCCAGTTTTTGGATTTGGGAGAGTTGTTTATGTTTAGTAATATTTCTGGACTGTCTGAAACCGTAGGAATGACGTAGGGATTTTTAAAATGGGTGTACTTCCCCTTTAAAATGTAGACATAGACCCACAGGGCCATGTAGAACTGAACTTACAGTTCAACTGAATTTCAGTTGAACTGTAATATACTGTAATAACATACAGATGTAATGTGTGGTTTTCAGAAACATACAATGCCAACGTATTTTCTTGCGATTGGGTTGTCTGATCTCATGACAGAATGGCAGTCTGACAACTTAAAATACAAAACCATCTAACAACAAATGTCTTTATTTACAGATTCATGCTTTATCAGGTTGGTACATTATCTTATTTTGATTATAACAGGAAATACATGCCATGTTCCTCTGTAAATTTACTTTCTACATGTTGTAGGCCAGTTCAGTCTGAGAGCACCAATCGGGGCTCTGCTACAGGTCACATGGTCAGCCAGAATGAGGCTCAACAGAATGAAGATCCCTCTCCTCTCCGTGGTAAGGACACATCTTGATTTGAGACACACGTTTTAAAGACACATTTTAAAAACATTTAAGGATGTTTAATTATGGTATCATGCAGTGAAAATAGACGCTCATCTCTATGAATCAATTAAAGGCTCTGAAGACACTGAAAATGGTACAGTATACACCGATCAGCCAAAATATTAAAACCACTGGGAGGTGAAGTGAAAAACATTGATCATCTTGTTACAATGCAGTGTTCTGCTTGGAAACTTTGGCTCCTCACATTCATGTGGATACCATTTGACACGCTTTGGAGTCTGGCACTGGGGCGTTGGCGGTGGATCCTTTGAGACCTGTCAGTTGTGAGGTGGGGTTCTGGCACGTCCCACAGATGCTCAATCAGATTTGGATCTGGGGAATTTGGAGGCCCTGTTGATGCCTTGCACTCTTTGTCATGTTATTTAGTAACACTGCAAAAATGTCCTATCACATTTAGGTGAAAACATTTTAGACATGAGCTTTTCTTTTGCTTAAAATTTGGCTGCTGGTGCACTTTGATTTTCACTGATAATATTTATTTGAATACGTCAGGATGTCCAGCTACAAGAATGATCAAAACAAGATCAAATTACTCAAATAAGTTATTAATTTGATATCTTATTTCTAGATGATATAACATCAACCCCAAATAAGATCCGATTGTTAATTAAGACAGGTAAGTTACACTTACCTGAATTAAGTCTTGACAGCCTTGTGTAGTGAGCACGAGATAATCCAGTTCATACTCAGAGCAAATCACACTAGAATTGAAACCTAAATATAAGAAGATTATACCATTTACTTAGACATAGAGTTGTCCCAGTGTCAGTAAGAAATGCAGTAACTGCATGATTTAAAGCTGTTTCACACCAAGCACTGATTTTTATCTGAAAAATTTCCATGGAAATTTATAAAAACTGATCTTTGTAACAATGAGTGGGGACAAAAACTATTCAGCAGATCTCAATTTCAGCAGAAGTTTGCTTGCAAAAAGATGTTTGACCAGTGAAATCCTTTGTTCCAAATGATGTAAGACCTTCAGGTCAGAGCTAGCTTGCTGCCAAAATAGAGAATGTCTTCTTACTTTGTTCTTGGCTTCAACCAGGGTAAGATGAAGATGCTAATGTAGCTGTTATGCGCTTGCTGTCGTTATATGATGGTCATTGTCCGAAACAACCCGAAGCCCGCTGCTTATTTTGTGTGGAATAATGCTCTGCAGATAATTCACACCAGCCTGGTGTGAATAGCTGTCATTCAGATTTTTGCATCGCACTTGTGCAAAATGGCTTTTCAGGGGATTAATTGTGAGTGACTGATGCAGAACTCAAAAAATGTGTATTTTTCACACACAGCTGAATCTCAGGATGTCACCTATTCATTGATTGAACTTAAAAACTCTGGAAAGAAGGGTGAGTACTCCAGACGAGATATGTGTTCTGGGTCTGCCCCTGGGCCTCCTACCAATGTGACGTGCTCGTAACACCTCTAACGGGAGGCGCCCAGGAAGCATCCAGATCAGATGCCCAAACCCACTCAACTGACTACTACTCCGAGCTCCTTCCGGATGTCTGTGCTCCTCACCCTATCTCTAAGGCTGAGCCCAGCCACCCCACTGAGGAAACTCATTTCGGCTGCTTATATCCGTGATCTCATGCTTTCTGTCATGAAAAGTCATTTACAATGTAGCATAATCATGGAAACAACTGGGTGTTCCCTCTGAACTATCAACGTATTTGTATTTTTTAGATACAGCTGAATCCCAGGATGTCACCTATTCATCGATTGAACTTAAAAACTTTGGAAGGAAGGGTGAGTACTCCAGATACACAGAATAACTAGAATATAGTTTATGTTTTGTCCTGAAGTGAAATATTTTATTTAATGGATTAATGTGATCATTTTAACAGGGAAATGCCATGAACCAGAGGAGAGTTGTCTTTACTCTGATGTGAATATAGGAACTGCAGGTCAGTCATTTACAACAGTCATGCTCAGAGTTTGTACTGAAATGTGTCCTATCATTATACTGGAGGTAACAACAGGTCAGCAGCTCAATTTATCCAAGTCACCATGGGTAGTTACTACTAACTACCACTGGGTGTCACCAGAGTTTTAAATTGTTAAATGTTTAGCACATCTATGACCTTTTAAACTCTGGCATATTTTTAAGTTTATGTTAAGTTTATGTTTTTCATATTTAGTACATGAATATCAATAAGTATTGTGTGTCATTTCTGTATTACACACTTCCATCTCACAGATGTGGCAATAACTGAATTGTGCTGTTACACATTATGAAATACTGTGGATTCTACATGGAAATTCCTCCTCCACTTTCTCCTTTTTTCCTTAATGAGGTTGCACCATAGTACAGACATACAGAGAGCTGTGTTCATTACTGACATGGTTATTTTGTCTTTTGATGTGTTGTAAAATTTGTGCTGCCAGTTTCTTCTTTCTCCAAAATTATGGTTTATTGTTATTATTTTATTTGTATTGTTTGATTTGGCCTTACTAAATCACAGCATCAAAGGATTTATTTGGTCATTTTTGCCTTTATTTATTGTCGGGATGCACCGATTTTGAAGTTGTAGGCCTATATTTAAAATGACAATTTATTCGGTAGCCGATATCAGTATTTTTATATTGCTGTTTATTTTGTTTTTGTTGTTATTTATTCCCCCTCTTTGTGCCAGGGAAATAAAGAAATCTACACTATAAAAAAAAAAAACTTTTTAAGAAATATTCAATCAAACAAAATTATGACACAACCATTGACATAACCTTTTATATGAAAAATGTATTTATGTGTAATATATATCATAATTCCCTCTGTAACATCTATTTTATGTTACTTTGCAAATAACAAATTTCATGTTCTTTTCAAGTTTTAAATGACAAAACTACATTTTACAAGATTATAATCAACGTATCATGAGAATATTATAATTTACCTTCGTCCCATACTCGTTTTTACTGAATTGAGCTCAAACGCATCACAGTATAACTCAGTGCAGCCTCCGTGAGGTGTTGCTCATCTCTCGCTGGTTTTAACATGGATTATCTGTCCCTACATACATTTTCTCCCAGGCTGGGTCGCTGGGGCAGTAGGCCAAGCAAAGCACCCCAGACGACGACGTCCCTCTCCCCAGTGACGCTTTACAGCTCCTCCTCCTCCCCCCCAAAGTGTTAGCAGGCCAGATGAGATACGTGTTCTGGGTCTGCCCCGGGGCCTCTTACTAGTGGAGCATGCCGAAACACCTCTAACTGGAGGCGCCCAGGAGGCATCCTGATCAGATGCCCAAATTTCCTCAACTGACCCCTTTAAACGCAAAGGAGCAGCGGCTCTACTCTGAGCTCCTTACCTTATCTCTAAGGCTGAGCCCTGCCACCCTTCAGAGGAAACTCATTTTGGCTGCTTGTATCCGCGATCTAATTTTTTCGGTCATGATTAGTTGTTCATGATGTAGCGTTATGGAAAGAATTGGGTGCTTCCTCTGAAGCGTTGATAGTAACATTACTGCATCATTTCATGCTGAAGGTGTCCTGAGGAAGATCTCTGTTCATGCTTAACAAGTTTTCTATTGTTCCGTGGGTGCCGGGAGTAAGATTCCCAGAGCCCATTTGCCAAACAGTCATTGTATTATTCTTGCACCTGCTTAGTGATTTAGGTTTTTGGCTGCTAATTTCAAACCTTGCTTTTTAGCTTGTGCAAAACTGATGCCACTGCAAAGGACTCGGCCTGTTTGGGGTGCACAATCTACTTAGTGAGCTAGAGGTCACCCCAGCACTAAAGGGTTTTGAACCAGACCAAACTTAAAGAAGGCCAGCTTAAAAACAAAAGATACATTAACTGAAAAAAACCTCCACACATTTCTTTTATTTCCATTCTACCTGTCCATTCATCCATTTAGCTGTACGACACAGAATATGTCAGCTGAGCAAACAAATCCTGAAATCTAGCTTGTGTTTTAGATGATAATGTGACGTATGCCCAAGTCACCCAGCACAACAAAGGTAAAGCCAAGAAAAACAAAGGTGAGGAAAGTCTGCGTTCACCTTCAGTTGTTATTGCCCAACATGTTGGTCTTGTGCAGAGAGCAGTGTACACTATGCAGTATGAGTTTAGTCTGTTTAAAGTCATAGATGTTTATATTATCTATTTTCTATATTTCTTATTAAGCTTCTTATTAGTAATGCACATTTCATTTATTTTTTACATGTATGCATGGTTTGAGAACTGTTTACTGTAAACATGAGTAAATTCTGTAAAAACATTATTACGCTACATACTGTTCATATTATTAATTAAACTGAACCTCTCCATTTATAGGAAAATCAACTGTGCCAGCAACTGATGAAGCTGTTTATTCTGAATTTAAACCAGGAACCGCTCTTGGTAATAATGCACCACATGATGTGCACGCTTAAATGATTATTCAGCAGATTGTTAAATGGATATAAGTCAGATTAATATGTCAGAGAGCACTACTGCATCTTGAACAATGATTTGTTTTGTTGTTTTGCTTCTCTTCCAGGTCTGTAAGGAGAGGTCATTCTTCATTTTCATATTTTTTATCCTGTTGGGGGTTGCGGGGAGGCTGGAGCCTATCCCAGCTGACATTGGGCGAGAGGCAGGGTACACCCTGGACAGGTCACCAGACTACCACAGGGCTGACACATAGAGACAGACAACCAGTCACACTCACATTCACACCTACGGACAATTTAGAGTCACCAGTTAACCTGCATGTCTTTGGACTGTGGGAGGAAGCTGGAGTACACTGAGAAAACCCACACTGACACAGGGAGAACATGCAAACTCCACACAGAAGGGCTCCCCCACCTCAGGTTCAAACCCTCCACCCTGGAACCTTTTTGCTGTGAGGCAACAGGGCCAACCACTGTTTCACCGTGCCGCCTGTATAAAAATGCTCTCAAGCATTTTAGAAAATTATTGTGGGCACACTGCTATCCACATATTACACATGCTCAGTATTTTGTGCAGTTAATTTGTTGGTTGATAAAAAAATCCCATCATTCCATTCACAATTAGTACATCTCCAGTGAAACGTGATCCCATCAGCTGCTTTACCTTGTGCACTGTAATTTAGTCCTTTTTGCGTCTTCTTACATTGTTGGCTGCTGCTTTTGAATTGTTTTTGCTTTTGCATGTTTCCGGATGGTTCTGGTAATCCATGGTTTCTGGTTGTGGAATAATTTCACCGTCCACACATCCTGGCCTCAACAAGACAGCCGCATGGTCACTCCTCCTGAATACTGTCGGCAGTGATCCACAGCAGGATCGGGACAGCAGCTCACAGTCCCACTGACACACCAGTCCTTGTTCACCATGGAACACACGCCTCCTCTCCTTTTCTTGCCTGAGTCCTCTGCTCCGTCACAATTGGCGTACAGAATAAGAGTCACCTGGTGAAATGGCGCTGTCAGGGATCAACCAAGTTTTGGTGAACATCCTGATATCCTGTTGAAAACTGATGCGTCACAGAGGTCGTCCAGTTTATTTCCAGCATCTGTACAATGGCTAGCAGGATGCTAGTTCGGCTGGCGCTCATTCTCCATCTTTTCCTCAATGTTTACTGATGTTTACATTTGAGAACCTTGACCTGGCTAGCTAGCGGAGGAGAGTTCACAGACTGGTGAGTCGATGCTCATCATCCTGATGAGAGACTCAAAGCCACATGCCATCATCGTCCAAAGCCAACCACAAAAAGCACCACCAACACGCTGACAGAGAGGCGACTGTGCTTAACTTGTGGATTTAATTAGTCTGAGCACGAGCACAAGACTATTGATGCTTATTCTCATTTAATATTAATGCACTGCATTATCTTTATTTTGTACAGTCATTTTGTCATTTGTTTTTTTGTATGAAACTTTGAATCCAATCTATTCCAAAGAGCAGCACAAGTATATTTGAGCTTCTGATAGTGCAGCTTCAAAGTCAGTATCTTTTATAGAGTTAGATAAGATAGATCCAGTATGGTCATTAAAAATTATTTTAATATACAGTATGTAAACAATTTGCTATCAAGCAACATATCTCATTACATGTACATGTTTGCCTTTTGTCTTAAAAGTATATTTATAACTGCTGTACATATTTTATTTTCACCTTAATGGATTTGATATTTTTTGTTTTTAGTTATTATTGTTATTTTAGCATTCTGTGTATCAATAAAGTTAAAAGCTAATTTATTTATTAATTTATTAACTGGACTTCTGAACTGGATAAAGATCCCATATTAGCCGTCTGACACTATCAATCTTGGCAAAAGTCATAAAGTGGACTTGGTGTTGGTTTTCAGGAACTATTTCTTTGGTTAAAAGAGTTCCAACCAGAACTGTTCGGTGATCTGTGGATTATCTAGAGTTACTGAGACATCTGCTCAGCAAAGACATGTTGCTGTGTGGCTCCATTTATTCAAATTCAGTTCACCTACAGTACAGGCCAAAAGTTTGGACACACCTTCTCATTCAATGCGTTTTCTTTATTTTCATGACTATTTACATCGTAGATTCTCACTGAAGGCATCAAAACTATGAATGAACACGTGGAGTTATGTACTTAACAAAAAAAGGTGAAATAACTGAAAACATGTTTTATATTCTAGTTTCTTCAAAATAGCCACCCTTTGCTCTGATTACTGCTTTGCACACTCTTGGCATTCTCTCCATGAGCTTCAAGAGGTAGTCA